TGTTCTGTCATGCTTCCTTATTAGATCAATGTGCAAACTCTAGTATTTTTTCCACACTGCCCTAATTCAGTATTATTGCCACTCTAGTTTTGGTCAACATGTTATAGCACTATTTTGGATATCCTCAAACCTGGGCGAATGTTGACAAGGATGACTGCCATTTGGATTTGGAATGTTGCCCCAAATCTTGTGTACCAGTCTTGGTCACCAGCCTGTGGTGCTATGCGAGGTCACTGAACCTTTAGAAAGAAGTTAGGCATGGTGAGTATGCCCTTGAGGCCATGTTAGGTTCTGTCCCCTTTCTCTGTTTTCTGGCTACCATAAAATGAACAGACCTCCTCTGCTGTGCATTTCTGCTGCCTGATACGTGACCATGGACTGAAACTTATGAAACTGTGAGCCAAAATAAAATTCTCCTTTAAATTATTTATCTCAGGGCAATGGCCAGTTTCACTTTGAATTGTCTGATCATCTTCAGAATCCATTTGTACTCTTGCATGTACTTTCCAGTTTTCATAACAAGTTGGAGCCTAGAGTTGATCAGCTGTAGCAACTTTTTCTACAATCAACCCTTTAACGTGGACCTGAAGCCCTTGTTTATATCTGCCTCTAGACTGGATCTAACTTTTTTTGTTTTGTTTTGTTTTTTTGCGGTTTTGAGACAGGGTCTCACTATGTAGTTGAGACTGACCTGGAACTCACTATGTAGCCCAGGCTGGTCTGGAACTCACAGTGATCCTCCTGCCTCAGCCTCCCGAGTGCTGGGATTACAGGCATGTACCACCATGCCTGCCTGGATCTAACTTTTTTGAAGCTGAGCCCCTTAATTCATGAAGTTGGGGCCCCAGTGTTTGAGAGAGCCTCTTGGGTTCCCTTGAGACTGTTCCATTGCCAAGGGGCATGCTGTTTCCCCTGTCTGTCTTTCATAAATTAATAAACTTTAATTTCTGGAGCAGGTTTTGGTTCATAGAAAAGCTGAACAGAAACTACAGAGCTCATATACTACTTGCATCCTGTTCTTCCATTTCTTTATGATTAGCGTTAGTATGAAGTATTTGATACGGTTGATGAATGACTGATTTTTTAATGACTAATATTAGTGCATTTACTGTTAACTAAATTCTATAGTTTATGTTAGGGCTCACTTTTTGTGTTATCTTTCTTGGGTTTTGATAAATGTATAATGTCATGTATCTGTCCCTTCACTATCCTGCAGAATGGTCTATGGACCTAAATATCTTTTGTATTCTACCTTGCTTTTCTTCTGTCCAACTCCTTTAATTGGCAGACATTGATTTTTTTTTTTCTGTCACTATACTCTGGGCTTTTCCACAGTGTCATATAGTTGGAACCATACAGTTTGTTCGTTTTTCCAAACTGGCTTCTTTGACTTAGCTATGTGTATTGAGGTGTTTGTGTGTGTGTGTGTGTGTGTGTGTGTGTGTGTGTGTGTGTGTGTATTTCTTGAAAGCTCATTTATTTTTTTCTACTAACTAATTTTACATCATATGTATTGTACCATGGCTTATCTTTTCACCTATTAGAGAATATCTTGGTTGAAAAATTATGAGGCAAGTTGGTAGAAACACTTCTGTCTGGGTTGTTATGTGGACATAAAGTTTCTAGATTTTATGTCTTCTTTAGCTCTGTAAGAAGCTACAAATGCCCTCCAAAGTGGCCATATAGAGTTTTGCATTCCTGTTATTGTATGTTTTGTGTTGTTGTGTCATGTGTGTTGCTCTTCTTTGTCCCCAGTAGTTGCAACGAGTTACTGTTTTAGATTATAGCCATTCTAATAGGGATGTAGTGGTATCTTGTTTTTATTTTCATTTGGGTAGTGTACGATGTTGAGCATTTTTCTATAATGTTTATTTGCCACTTATAGGTCTTCTTTGGTGAAGTGTGTTCATATCTTTTACCCACTTATACATTCGGTTTTGTTTTTTTTTTGATACTGGGGATCAAACTCTGGTCCTTGTGCTTGCGAGGCAGGCAGCAGAACCACTGAGCTAAATCCCCAGCCCGATTGGATTATTTTATTATTGTTGAGTTTTAAGAGGTTTTTTGATATATTTTGAATGCAAGTCTTTCATCAGGCAAGTGTTTTGCAAGTATTTTTTCACAGCGTAGTACTGGTCTTTTCATTCTCTTCATAGTGTCTTTCACAGAGCGGAAGTTTTTAATTTTAATGAAGTTGTACTTATCAATTTGTTTTACTGTTGTAGATTAAGCTTTTAGTCTTCTGTCTAAAAACTCATCACCAAACCCAAGGTTGTCTTTTTTTTCTGCTATGTAATTCATTAGAAGTTTTATATTGCCTTTTATATATAGATGTATCATCTATTTTGTTAGTTTTTGTGAACAGTGTAAGATTTATGATGTCTAAATCCTTTTTTTTTTTTTGCGTGTAGATATCCATTTGTTCTGGCACTAGTTGTTGAAAAGACTAGCCTATGAATCACTTCCACTCTTTTCTCAAAGACCAGTCAAGAGTTGGAAGTGTAGCTCAGTGGTACAGTGTGTGCTTCACATGTGCCATAGCACTGGCATGGGATCAATCCCTAGCGCTAGATACATCAGCAACGAACAAAAGGCCACTTGCCGACATTTTTCTGAGTCTGTTTCTGGGCTTTCTATTATCTGTCTTTTTTTTTTTGGTACCAGGAATGAAACTCAGGACCTTGTGCTTGGGAGGCAGGCGGTAGAACCACTGAGCTAAATCCCTAGGCCTGATCTGTCTATTCTTTCAAGTATAATTTTATATAGTGCATCTTAAAGTCAGGTAAATGTTAGTACTTTTTTAAACGTTGTGTTAACTATTCTGGATATGTTGCCTGTCCATATAAATTTTATAATTGATTTATTAATATCTATAAAATAATTTATTTCACATAAAATTATATATGTTATGTATATCATGATTTTTGAAGTACATATACACTGTAGAATGACTAAACCTAGCTTTTTAATATGTATATTACCAAATTATAACATTTTTAACTTACTGAGATTTTTTTTTTTTTTTGAGACAGGGTCTCACTATGCAGTTGAGACTGACCTGGAACTCACTATGTAGCCCAGGCTGGTCTCGAACTCAGAGTGATCCTCCTGCCTCAGCCTCTCGAGTGCTGGGATTATAGGCATGCACCACCATGCCCGGCCTTACTGAGATTTTTTATTAGGATTGCATCAAGTTCTTGTTTTTTTTTTGTTTTTGTTTTTGTTTTTTTTTTTTGGTACCGGGGATTGAACTTGGGTCCTTGTGCTTGCAAGGCAGGCCACCGAACTGCTGAGCTAAATCCCCAGCCTGCATCAGTTTTTATAAAAAGCTCAGAAGAATTGACATGTTGGTAATATTATCTTCCCATCGACAAACGTGTGGTGTGCATTTATTTGATCTTTTAAAATTTTTCATGGTTTGCTTTTTTGTACTTTAGCAGTTTAATTTGGCAATCATTCCATTTCACACACATAGATAGGTCTACCTCATCATTTTTGTTTTTTGGTACCAGGAATTGAACTCAGGACCTTGCACTTGCGAGACAAACAGAGGAACCACTGAGCTAAATCCCTGGCCCCCTACTTCATCATTTTTAACAAGTGAATAATATTTCATTGGGTGGTTGTACAAAATTCACTTAGCCATTCCCTCCCTTGTTCATGGATGGTTAAACTGTTTCCAGTCTTTCTCTGCTACAGACAGTGCTGTGGTGAAATTCTCATGTAGTTTATCTTCATGCATACATCTTAGAATAAATTTCTCAGCATAAAGGTATACTGCCAAAAGTAGGTACAATTTGGGCTAGGGATTTAGCTCAGTGGCACCACACCAGCCCTTGCACGCACAAGGTTCTGAGTTCAATCCCAAGTGCCAAAAAAAAGAAAAGAAAAAAAAAGTATGTACAATTAAAAAAAATTTTTTTTGCTATATGATTCATTAGAAGTTTTATATTGCCAACTTCTTTCCAAAGAAGTTGTATAAATTTAAACTCCAGGGGGCCGGGCGTGGTGGTCATGCCTGTAATCCCAGCACTTGGGAGGCTGAGGCAGGAGGATCCTGTGAGTTTGAGACCAGCTTGGGCTACATAGTGAGTTCCAGGTCAGTCTCAATGATATAGTGAGACCCTGTGTCAAAAAAAAAAAAAAAAATTGAACTCCAGGGATAGGATGTGAGAGTATTCATCTTCCACTGCCTCACTAAGACAGCTGGTATCACAATCTTTATCATTTGAGTCATTGAAGAATAGATCTTATAGTGCTTATTTATATTACATCTAAAAGTGAGGTTGAGCTTTATGTGTGTTGTTTATCACAAGTTTGTTGATAAAAACATTTATAAAAAAGCATTCTGTGAAGGGCTGGGGATTTAGCTCAGTGGTTCGGTGTCCTGCCTTGCAAGCGCAAGGACCTGAATTCAATCCCTGGTACCCAAAACAAAAAGCATTCTGTGGAAAACCTTTGGATTATGACTGATTCACAGTGGATTATAATAAATAAAATGTAAGTGGTAAAATATTTGAGATTTTTAAACTTATTTTTAAATATGAGGATTTAGTATTTAATTTTTTTTTTTTTTTTTGTACTGGGAATCGAACTTGGTTCCTTGTGCTTGCAAGGCAGGTGCTGGAACCACTGAGCTAAATCCCTGGCTAATATTTAATTTTAATTTATAAGCCACTGGTGATAATATCCTTTTGTAAGTATCTGAAATAATTTTAAAATGTTTCTTTTAAACTGGGTTACTACATGGCTTCTCACACAACTTAAATACAAGTTATTTGATGCTACTAACAAACTGATAATATGTAACGTACACCCTAAAGTTAGCATGTGTCGCTACCCTGAAAACTTACAAATGTTGCCACTTAAACTTTCCTGCTGTGTGAAGCCCTGGGTCCAATCCTCAGAGCTGGTTTTTAAGTTTTTTTAAGGTTAGAATTGTTATCTTACCTATTTCTGCATGAAAAAAAAACAACCCAATTTATTCTGATTTGTTTCAGACCCGTGGATATCTGGGCTTTGGGCTGTATGATCATTGAGATGGCCACGGGGAGTCCCCATCTTCCTAGTAGTTCTGATTTAGATTTACTCCACAAAATTGTTTTAAAAGTAGGTAGGTATTATGGAAATATTTAACGTATCTCTTTTTTTGGTACCAGGAATGAACTCAGGGCCTTGCAGGCCTGTGCTGCCCTGCTGAGCTACATCCATGGCAAATACTACCCGATATAAAAACTGTTTTTCCGCAGGAGAACAAGGAAGCATATTGTATTGATAGATGGTAGCAGATGGGCACCTGGGCCGGATAAAGAAGGCACAAAGTTCTGTTTTTACAAATAATATTTTCTTTGCCAGGATAGAACTAGCTAAGCCGTATGCTGATGGTTAATGCTAAGAAAATAGTACAATAAGAACGTATTTCAGTTTGTCTAAAATTTACTTTGATATTTTGGCTCCTTCAGATATTTGTACTTCTAAACAAGGACTTTTTGGATTTTTGAGACAGGGTCTCACTATGTAGTTGAGACTGACGTGGAACTCACTAGGTAGCCTTGGCTGGTTTCGAACTCACAGTGATCCTCCTGCCTCAGGCTAAACAAGGACTTTTAAACAGTAAGGTTGAGTCAGATGCTTTTAAGTGTTTGGAGATACAAAATCAGTTAGTTACTCAGAAAATATCCTTTTTGTGGGCTTGGATCAGTACTGAGGATTGAACCCGGGGCCTTTACACTGAACTGCGTGTCCAGCCCTTTTTCTTTTGGACAAGGTCTCACTTAATATTTGAGTTGCCCAGGTTGGGTTCAAAATTGTGATCCTCCTGCTTCAGCCTCCCACAATGCTGGGATTACAGGTCCATGCCATGGCACTTTGCTCTCTTCAACAACAAGAACAACAAAAACCCACAGTAGATGGCCAGGTAGCTAAACAACTAATTCAAGAATATATTTAAAGAAAAATAAAAAATGTATTTGAAGAGATTTTAATTCTTTGATTGTCTGTTTTACTCATTTTGGTGGTTTACCTTTGAATATGGCATTTCATTGATTTGTTTTTAAAAAATATTTCCTAATGAAAAGCTTGAGGAGCCCTTTGCATGAGGGAGAAGCTATGCATAGATATATAATTGCAGGATTACGAGGAAGGTACTGTGCACAGTCATAAAGACAGTGAAACTGGATATTGATGTAAGATACAGCGCAAAACCTTAAGACATCACACTCGCTTGTGTGTTCTTTAACATTCTCATTATGACACTGATGTTACAAGGAATCTTAGAAGCAATGGGATTAATTCTGTCATTTTACGGATGAAGAAACAAAGCCATAAAAATATATGAAGATGCCAGGCATGGTGTCCCTTCCCTGTCATCCCAGCACTAGGGAGGCTGAGGCAGGAGGATTGCTGCAAGTTTGAGGCCAGCCTGTGCTACCTAGTGAAAACCCTGTCTCAAACTGCCCACTTCAAAAAAGAAGGAATTTGCTCAAAGTCATAGAACTACTTAGAGCAGAGCTGATTCTGCTTCTCTCCACTGCTATTTATAGTTCTTCCCATTTTATTAATGCCTTCTAGCCTTGTTTCTGCTCTACAGCGTTTTGATTTCTAAATCAATTTTGATATTTTAGCTTTTTTGTCAATCTATATTGTTGATGAACACTTGATATAGGCCATTTATTTATTTATTCATTCATTCATTCATATATTTATTTATTTTAGTGCTGGCTACATTTATTCAAGACTCTTCTCCCTTTTCTTGATATAGGCCATTTAGATACCAATATAGAAATGTGTAAAGTTTGAATGTGCTTTTCTAGTAGTGCCACATATTATGTTTTATAGTTTGAGAAGACACAATGATTCTGGTGATTCTCACATATTCTGCTACCTATGTGTTATCAGCAGTTTTTTGGGGGAACCTCATTTTTAAAAAATTATATATTTGATAGTTTCTTTTTTTGGGGGGGACACCAGGGATATAACTTGGGTCTTTGTGCTTGTGACGCAGGCAGCGGAACCACTGAGCCAAATCCCTGGCCGTATAGTTTCTTGTTCAAATTGAAAAAATTAAAAAACATAATTGATTCTGTTTCTTGTTTCAGTTTTTAGTAATTTAATGTGCATTACAAAGCAATTTGATTATTTTGATTATAGATTTATTTCTCTGTTCTTCTAAACATATTTTTCTCTTTTCAGGCAATTTGACACCTTACTTGCAGAATATCTTTTTCAAGAATCCCATCTTTGCTGGAATAGTCCTTCCTCAAGTTCACCATCCCAAAAATGCAAGAAAAAAATATCCAAAACTTAATGGATTATTGGCAGATATAGTTGATGTATGTTAAAGGATTGAGAATTTATACCTGAGAAATTTGCATAAATTACAATATTTTAAAGTATTATTTTAATGAAATTCTGAAAGAATCCCTAAAGTAATGTTAATCTGTTAACCAGAGAGAAATGAAAATTTACAGAGTTTAGAACTAGAAGTCTCAAAGATAATTATGCACATTAGTTTTAGTTTACCCTCATTTTGATGGTACCTTGGGATAAACCAGAAAAATTCTAAGGCGTCACTGCTTACCACTGTCTTTTCTAACATCCAGTCTGGCCAGGTTAGTGAGCTCTTCTACCATTGGGTCCAAAAGTGTAGAGCATTTGCTGGCAGCTATAGTTTTGACAAGTGCATTTGTACACCAATGCCAAAATTCATCTTAAATGCAGAAAACAGAAACCTGCTATAGCCTTTTTTATTATTTTGAGTGTTACATTATATTTAAAGTAGATAATAAATACACTAGCACACTTTATTACACAGTTCAAAATATAAGATGGGTTTATTGTGAGTAGTAAATCTGTTTTTGTTTCTTTTCTCTAACCAGTCATTTTCTTTACCAGGAGCAGTGAACTTGTTTATAATGTATTGTCCTTTCTAAAGAGTGATTTGTTTTTTGGGGGAGTATCGGGGATCAAGCCCGATTTCCTAAATTTTTGGTGAAATGTAGTGTAGTGATTAAAAAAAGGAAGGAGCTCTGGAGTCACCTTGACTAAATTGAAAACCTAGGTCTGCTACTAATTTGTTCTGTAACTGGGTGAATTACTTCAATTTACTGGACTATCAAATGACAATAAACAGTACTTGCCTTCTGCAGCTGGAGAATTAAATGTGTCTAGCACAGACCCCAGAATAAACTGTCAAGAAATGTTAATGTTCATTGTTGCTGCTACTGTTATGCTGATTTGTAACAGCTAAAGTGTTACATAGTTAGGGCTGGGAAATGGTTGGGTGTTAGACCACTTGCCTTGAATGGTCCTGGATTTGATTTCTAGTTCTGCAGAAAAAAAAGAACATTACTGAAAGAAAAATTATTTAATTGGTACCTGGAGAAACCTGGAGTTTATTAAAGATCAGAACTGTTTGCTTCATTTTCAGTTTAATTTCTCTTCTTGTAGAGTTTGAAATATAGAAGAAATGTGTAAATTGCGTCTGGTGGAGCAGATCTGGAATCCCAGAGGCTGAGGTGGGAGGATAACAAGTTTGAGCCCAACCTGGGTAACTCAGTGACTTTTCTCAAAATATAAAATAAGAAATGGGCTGAGGATGTAGTTCAGTGCAAAGGCCCCGAGTTCATTTTTCATTCACACATGCGCACGCACGTGCACGAGCACACACACTCACACACACACACACACACAGAAAAAGGAAATACATAGAAATTATTTTAAATTATTTTAGGTTAAACTCCTAGAAGTGGGATTTTAATATTGATTTATAAAACAAGTATATTCTTTTGTCATAAATAGTAAATTTTTTATAATTGATAGCAAGAATAATCCAGTGATTTGGAATGCCATATTTATCGTAGAGAAAATGCTTTTTTTTTTTTTTTTTTTGAGAAAATGCTTTTACATGCTTGAATCTGCTTCTGTTTCATTGATTTCTTTAAGATTTAGTTCTATTTTAATTGATTAAACTCTAAAGTACATTTTAATATTTGATGTAGGACATGTATTTTTTCTGAGGTATAAATTTTCCAAATAATTTTACTGCAGTATAGCTTACAGTAAACAATACGTACTTAAAGGGCATGATTTGTGGAGTTTTCATAGGTATACAGATAATGAAAGTACCACAGTCTAGGTATCTAATATTTCCATCACCCTCCAAAGTTTTTGTGTCCTTCTCAGTCATTCTTCCCCTCCATTTCTGTCCTCATTTACTGATGTGCTACTGTAGATTAGTTTGCATTTTCTAGAATATTAGATAAGTAGAATCATAGACTAAGTACTTTTTATGTCTGATTTCTTTAACTCAGTGTAACGGTTTAGAGCTTTGTTCATGGGTGACGCACAAATGTAATCCCAACCACTCAGGAGGCTAGGGCAGGAGGATCCTGAGTTCCAGGCCAGCCTGAGCAACATAGCAAGACCTTGTCTCAAACAAAAACAGATTCATAAAAGAAGTGAATAAAATTTATTCCAGTAATATATTTTAACTAAAAAAACCCCAGATTCATTCACGTTTTTCAATATATCAGGAATTTGTGCCTTTTTAAACTGAGTAATATTTCATTGTATACTTTTTAAATCCATTCCTCTGTTTCTGAGGTATTTTTCATTCCTGTATTATAAATTGCCATGAACATTCATGTGCAGATTTTTATGTGGACATTCATCTCAGGTAAATATCTAAGAGTAGAACAGCTCTGTCCTAAGGTGAGTCTATGTTCAGTTTTTAAAGAAATTGCCAATGTATTTCCCTAAGTGTCATATTTTACATTTTCCAGGGGGTGCCAGAGATCGAACTCATGATCTTGTACTTGCAAGGCAGGCACGGTGCCTCTGAGTTAAATCCCGGGCCCAGCATTTTCTTATTTTTTTTTTAATTGAGTACTACTATGTTTTAGAGTAAGCACATATTTTTAAACTAGTTGCAATTTTAAGGATCTAGATACTTTCATCATAAAGTATGTAAAAGATTCAAATAATTTCACCTTGTGAATCAATTATTTTTATTGTTGTAAAATACCTAATATGACATCTACCCTCTTACCAAACTCTTAAGCGTACAGCACAGTGATTTTAACTATAAGCACATTGTTGTGCAACAGATTCTGTGGAACTTTTTTATACATCAATTTAAACTGTACATTTTGATATCAACAGAAGCATAATATTATATACATTTTCCTTGTTTTTTTCTGGATTTTAATTCTGATTCCTTTATTATGAGATCTTAGATAAATTATTTACCTCTCTTTGGTCTCCTTATGTGCACATTACAGAAAATAATACATACTTTAGGCCGGGAATGTAGTTCTGTGGCACCGTGCCTGCCTAGTGAGTGCAAGGTTCTGAGTTCAAGGATCTGAGTACCACAACCAGAAAGACAAACAAACAAACTTTGTAGGGTTGTTGTTGGGCTGAAATGACAGGAAAATGCTAGAGCATTGTCTGGTGTTTAGTATAAGCATGAATCAAGGTTTCCTATTATATTTTGTTTTCTTTCAAGAGAAGAACTTGGGCAGGGGATTTACCTCAGTGGTGCAGCCACCTGCCTCCCAAGTGCAAGGTTCTGAGTTCAGTCCCTGGTACCAAAACCAAAAAAAAGAAAGAAAAGAAGAACAAAAATTGAAAAGCAGCTGCCTTTTATTCAGATTCTGTCTTCCGTGTTTCAGTTAAAGGAATGTGTTCTACCTTTAAGTATAGTATAGTTATTTAATTACATATAAATTCAGTATGTGCATGCAGCTTAATATTCACAGCTTTCCATTGGTTGTGTTTTGTCTGTTTGATTGGTTTCTTGGTTGTTCTCTACAATTGAAGTACTCCAAAGGCAGCACACAGAAAAGTTCTTTTCTAATGAGGATCACTGAAGGATTTAGGAGCCTGAGTATTTGTAAAATTGTGTTATGCCATAGAAGGAACACTGGGTGGGTTAAAATTCCACTTTGGCCATCGCTGTGCTCCCAGATCTGCAAAATACAAATGATTACCTGTAAAGTTTACACCCCACAGGACTCCAAATGAGCTAAGTACTATCTGTTAATTACAGTAGGAACAGAGTGACTTGTTTTTGGCTAGAATCACAGGACATTTAACCCATGATAATGCTTTGTGAGTGCAAAGATCTTAGGGAAATAAATAGAACTTCTGGAATCTAATTCTATCTTTTTAAGAACTCATTATTAAAATTGTTTTTCTTTTCTAGGCTTGTTTACAAATTGATCCTGGTGAGAGGATGTCATGTACTGATCTTTTGCATCATGAATATTTCACTAGAGATGGATTTATTGAAAAGTAAGCATAAAAGTGGATGTGGCCTCTTTAATGGTTTGTATTGGGACATTTTATTACCAGGAGAATTGCTTCATAGGTTAATGTTGCATGACAGATCTTGCTGAGCTATTGTATCAGATGTTGACTGGGTATTTAGTAGACTAAAGGGTGTCATGGGTCAAAATTCTAACGAAAATAATGCAGCTAACATTCATTACACAGTTACAAAGTCTTAGGCAGTATGCTAAGTTTTCTATTCTGCAATTTCATTTTCATTATCGACCAGAAATAACATTAAATAAGCAATCAATACTTTGTAGACTTGGGCCTGTGACTGATAAAATAATGTGTTTTTTCCTCTTCTGATAGCATTCCTACCTATGTACAATATTATAATTAGCCCTTTCCAGGTTATTTTTTTCCTTATTCTCTGATGGTGCTTATTATTTTATTCTACCCACTAAATTGGAAAGTCTCTGAAGACAGAGGCTACACTTCCAGCCTTCTGTGTCCCAGGTTGTCTGACATGTTCAGCCTATAGGACACATTGACAATTTACATTCATTAATCAGCCATATTTCTAGAAAACATTATTTTGTATTTGGGTTTTTGAGGAAAGTAGGAAAAGTTTCTCGGTAGTTGCAGAGTCATTTAGTTGGTGTGTGGTCATTAAGTCAGAAAGATTGTCTCAGAAAGATGGACTTAAGGTCAGATGTGGGAAAGTCTGAAAAGTGCCGCTGGAGATGAACTTAAACAGGAAAAAGAAAAGAGAATCCTTGAGAGTAACTACAACTTCCAGCATTTCAGCAGCTTTAAAACAAGAAATGAGTTACACTGATGAAAGTGCCATCGATGAAAAGTACCCATAACCGAATAAATTACCTCATACCAATTCTGTGCAGACTAAGTTGATTTCCCTAGAGTATTTAAACACAGTATTATGATTTTTCTATTACGGGGTGGATTGAGTTCAAATTATGAAACCCTCAGAAAGTATCTGAGTGAGAACTCTTTCCTTTGTGGACCTTCTGCACCACCAGGGTTTTAATGGAGCTGTAACATGTTCTCCATTAGCCAAACGAATCACCTTTTGTTCTCCACTGTCTTCATCTCTATACACTACCTGTTATTAGTCATGTACCCTGCACATCACTGGCAAGAGTAGATGGACTAGGGGCTGGGGATTTAGCTCAGTGGTGCACCGCCTACCTTGCAAGTGCAAGGTCCCAAGTTTGATCCCTGGTACACCCCCCCAAAAAAGAAGATGGATTCGGGAAGAATTAATAAATGGAGCAGTATTTTAAAACTTCCCTAAACTCACAGCAGTGGCTGCTTCCATGAGGGAGAACCATGTGATTCAGAAAAGCTTGTGAAGGAGACTTTTCAATGTATACTTTAGAATTTTGAACTATATGAACAGATTTCCTATTAAAAAATAAATAACATGGCCAGGTGTGGCGCATGCCTGTAATCCCAGCACTTGGGAGGCTGAGGCAGGAGGATCACTGTGAGTTCGAGACCAGCCTGGGCTACATAGTGAGTTCCAGATCAGTCTCAACTATACAGTGAGACCCTGTCTCAAAACACCAAAAACAAAAACAAAAACAAAAACTTAAAAAGCAAGAAAGACAACTAAAACCAAAACAATCTCCCCTCCTTATTTATGTATTCGATTACATTTTGTACTGAAAATATTTCTTTAAGACTTCAGAAACTGATTAGTTCATCTTTTAAGTCATATTACTTTAAAAGAACTAACAAGTGGCCTGTGTTTCACTGAAAAGCATATTTATCAAAATTGAAAGCAATATTTTACCAACGAACATTTGTATTTCAAAAAGAATCTAATTCAGGGCTTGGAATTTAGCTCAGTGGTTCAGTGTCCTGCCTCACAAGCGCAAAGACCTGAGTTCGATCCCTGATACCACAAAAAAAAAAAAGAATGTAACTCATATGTATTTTTTGCAAAAGTTTTACGTAGTAAACTCCCGTGGCAAATCTTTTGAAAAATGTATCTTTGCTAGGAAGCAGTTCTTTTGTTTTGTTTTGTTTTTTGAGTCAGGGTTTCACTACATAGTGAGTTTAAGCTGGCCTTGAAGTCACTATGTAGGCTAGGCTGGCCTAGAATTTGCGGTGATCCTCCTGCCTCAACCTCAGGAAGCAATTTTTATTAGGTAAATGAACATTATTATTTCTTGACAATATATGTTGAAATATATGTTAAGTGTTTCTTTAAAAATATCTACACAAGCCGGGTGTGGTGGCGCACACCTGTAATCCCAGCACTCAGGAGGCTGAGGCAGGAGGATCTCTGTGAGTTCGAGACCAGCCTGGGCTACACAGTGAGTTCCAGGTCAGTCTCCACTACATAGTGAGACCCTGTCTCAAAAAACAAACAAACAAACAAACAAAAAAATCTACACAAATGAAAAGATTATTGGGCTGGAGAAATAACTTAGCAGTAGAGTACATGCCTAACATGTAAAGCTATGGGTTGAAGCCATAGAACTATGAAGAAATTATATATATAATATAACATATAAATACATTTAAATAGAAATATATATAATGTATAAAATTATATATATGATATTGCTTGTTTTGTCAGATTTTTACCAGAATTAAGAGCTAAATTACTACAAGAAGCAAAAGTCAATTCATTTATAAAATCAAAAGAGAATTATAAAGAAAATGAAATAATAAGAGATGAAAGAAAAACAATTTTTACCAATATGCTGCCGAATACTTCAGTTTTGGGAAAGGTAAGAGCTTTGTTTTTCATTTCAGCCAGTGTAACTGTATTATAGTTAGTACTCTTATGACAAAATGACTGTTGTCATGACTCAGATTTTGTATGTACCTCTTTTAGGAAACAGAAAAAGAAAAAATCCAAGGAGATCAAAGTCACAGTTATTAAAGTCAGAGGAGGAAAAGGAGATACCTCAGAACTGAAAAAGACAGAGTGTGAAAGTAGACACAGTCATCAGGATGCAGTTGAAAATGTTCGCGCTTTGTCTCAAGATGCAAAACCTGCAGTCTCTGATCCACCAAACCCTGCCAATCCCATCACTAGCCCTAATGATGTAAAGGAAGAGCCCCATGCTGAAGGTTATACAGTGATGCCACCCATCAATCTTACTAACACTAATCTGATGGCTGCAAATCCCAATTCAAATCTCTTCTGCCCCAATCCAAGGTGAGCTATGACAGAGAAGAGCAGTATCAAAATGTGTCTTTTTCTGAGTAATACTTGGTTGGAGGTTCCATCAGCATGGTGCCGCCATTCTGCCAAGGGCCGCCATAGCACAGCACGCCAGTCAGAGAAGTGGGCAGGGAACCAGCCACATGCAGGAGCCACGTGAGTGAGCAAGGAAGCAGGAGAGACTGAGAGGGGTGCCTCTTCCAGAACTTCCCTCCACAGTGAGAATACCTACCCTGCTAGGGGCAAAGCATTAATCTCTCCCAAAGACCTAATCACCTTGCACATGGACTGATCTCTTAAAAGTCGCACCACCTCGGGTCGGGGCCAGGTCTGTGTTGCTGTGCCTGCCTGGGAAGTACAAGGTCCTGAGTTCGATCCCCATACTGGAAAGAAAGAAAAAGAAAGTTCCACCACTTCTCACTGCCAGTAACTGAGACCAGGCTTCTAGCATGTGGATCTTTGAGGGGCAAACCAAATTTAAACCATAGCACTTGCTGTAACACGCAAAACTTTATTTCTAAATCATAACAAATTCTCCAAATGGAAAAAGAATAGTCACAAATGATTTTTCGTAGTCAAATAGCCTTTCAAGGCCAAAATTTGGAGAGGAAAACCGCATGTTGGGCCAGTTTTTAGGCTTTAGCAAATATGTCTGTCAGTTCAAAGATGCAGTAGACCACAGACCACAATGGCCTAGCTCAGTAATGGTGAACCTTCTAGAGACTGAGTGCCCATACTGCACATGAAACCCACTTATTAACCAAGTAGTGCCAACACTGCCCCTTTGTGCGCTGTTATCAGATAGATACTTGGCTGTGGGGATGTTGTTGGGGTAATGTTACTTGGGCGCCAGCAGAGGGCTCTGCATGCCCACTACAGCATGAGCACGCATGCTATAGGTTCTCCACCGCTGGCCTAGCTGTGCCTGAGGTGATCCAAACCACGGTGTTAATAACCAGGTTGTAAGCCAGGCTTGCATAGCAAGCTCATAAATCGAGAACCCCAGTGGTTGAGAGGGCTAAGTTCAGAATGAATAGCCGGCCAACAGAGATAAGTCCACAGCACGTTTGTCAGCGCTGATGTGAGCTATCCTTTAGCTGTTCTTTGCTCTATTACCACTATCTCATTAGAGCTTTTGGTACTTAAATGCTGTACTAGCAATTGCTTTTTGGTCCTCTGTATTCTAGCAGTAAATATTCATGGTATAAGTTGTTCATTCTAAAAACCAAGACAAAGACACTTTGAGGGAGTTCTAATAACTTGTCGTTTATTTTTAAATAATAGGTTAACTGAAAGAGCAAAAAACAGACACACTGCTTCACAATCTATTAGACAAGCTGTGTCTAAAAGCAGGCAAGAAGACATAGGTCCTACTCAAGTACGGAAAAAAACTAGTCATTAAAATATGGCCTTTTAAAATTATCTCCCTTTTTCCTTTTGTTGTTGTTGTTGTTTTTTGGTTTTTTTTGTTTGTTTGTTTGTTTTTTTTTTGTATTTGGGATCGAACTCAGGTCCTTGTGCTTGCAAAGCAAGCAGCAGAACCACTGAGCCAAATCCCCAGCCCTCCCTTTTCCTTATCTTTAGGGGCCCAATATGTAAAAAGTGTGTTTTTAGTTTTGTCTTAGTCACTTTACTTGTCCCTGGGACAAAATACCTGACCCCTGCAACTTCAAGAAGGAGAGGTTTATTTTGGCTTACAGTTAGGGTTTACCATCTACAGGCTGCAGAGACAAGTAACACGGGAAAAGGATCTGGTGGAGGAAAAGCAGCTCACATAATGGTGGCCAGGAAGTAGGGAGGAAGGGAAGGGGTGGGGAGGGAGAAATACCGTTCCAGGTCAAGCCCCAGAGGCCTGCCTGCCCTGACCAGGCCCTGCCTCCTAAACAAAAGTAGCCGTCGCAACCCCATAGTCCAGTCTTCCTCCCAAAGCTTCACCTGTGATCACATACGGCTTTTGGAGACTATCTAGATGTAAAAAGTTAATGAGTTTCTCCTTCGTTTTCTTTTTCTTTTGTGGCTCTGGGGATCAAATCCAGGGTCTTTCAAATGATAAACATGTGTTCTACCTTTCCTCTGTTACTTTGTGTATTTAATATGCAAGTTGGCAGAGTAAGTTAAGATTTCCACCTTTGAAAGTCATAGGAATTTTGGTTTTTCATTTCCAAAAAAGTTTTTAATAACCTACTTTATGAATTTAAAACAGTTGCCAGAAAGACACAACTTACTTTTGCTAGAAAAAAATCAGCGTAGGCACTCCAAAATATTTTCCAGATACCAAAATATACAAGCAGTTTTTTTCTTTAGGTTTTCTCATACCCATAAATCATCATTTTGGGGTTTTTTTCCCCCTCTCTTGGTACTGGAAACAAACTCAGGACCTTGTGCTTACCAGTCAGGCATGGTACCACTGAGCTATATCCCTGGCAAAATGTATTATTTTATAAATAGAAAAATAAGTTATTAAAAATGAATGGAAGCGACTTTTCCAAAATCAGAATGGATCATATTATAGGCAACAAAAGACAAATTATAAAGATCAAAATAAAAGGAGATAATAGGAGGTAGGGAGATAGAGCTTCCTCAGGTGGGAAAAAGATCTAGATGGGAGGAGAAAGGAGAGGGGAGGGAACACGGTGGAAAAGGAATTAAGGTGTGTTGTGTACATGCACCGACTCCACTCAAGGACTGTTGACATTACGTGCTGAAAACATGCACTAATAAAAATTAAAAAGTTAAAATTGTGATTCTTATCATCAAGGCTATTACAGAATATTAGATGTACTAAAATGTTTACAGTATGAAACTTTTATTGGAGTTTGGCCTATTTATATGTTTAACAGCACCCTACTCTACTTAATTACTAAATTGTAATACTCAGTTCTACACTATGATTCTACAAATACGTATTTCTTCAAACTCACCCGTATTTGTTTGTTTCGAGCCAGATGGAGAAGGGTATCTTTAATGAGCGCACAGCTCAAAGTGACCAAATGGCAAGTGGGTACAAAAGGAAGCTGAACTTTTCCAGATTTGGCAGGAAAGAATTCCATTTCCCTGAATTGCCTTTCACGGTACAGTCAAAGGACATAAAAGGAATGGAAGGTACACATTTGTTGCATAGCTTTATAAATCTCCACATGATAATTTACAGGACTTTTTAGCAATATAACTTACATTTTATAGGATGGTTTAGGAAGATAATAGTAAATGGCTGAGAAAAACAATTTCACCTGATAAGATTTTTCTGTCCTATAGTCAAATAAAAGGTGAGACTTAATGGAGTTAGGGTTAGAGAAAGACAGCTTTAAAAATTTTCTTTTCATTACCTCAGTGCTGTTGAAATGTTAGGTCACTTTTTTTTTTTCAATGAGGAAAAGAAGTTTATTCCAGTGAACAGAGATGAAAACCAGGGGTTCAAAGTGAGGGTAGATTCTAGCAGCTGGCAGGGAAAGAAAACTATGCTTGTCTAGATTTTGAGGAAGGGGCTGTAATTGTCAGGAATGTTTATGACTTGGTGCCCAAGGACGGTCTGCACAGGTGTGTGGACCATCGCTGGACTTGTCAGCGCCAGAGGGATTGTGGATGTCATCTTGTGCCCACTTGTCCTGTTGGCTGAGAAGTTGCTCTTGTTTGCGAAAGCGGCCTGTTTGCTTTGTCCTGTTTGTCCCCTTAGGCCAGGCCTGACAAAGAGTAGGAAGAATTTATGGAAAGAAAGACAACTTCTGTCTAAGAGAGACAGAAGGGGGGCGGAAAATGGGTTGCCTGCCAACCCCACTTCTCAAAGGTGTTTTATGGGGCAGAGCCATGATGTGAGATGGGTTCAAGGTGGGACAGAGCTGTGAGACCCAGTGGAAAATCACAAGGTGGGCACGAGGTGGGACAAAGCCATGACCAACCAATTAAGATTATAAGTACAGTTGCCCAGGTAATACTGATTAAATGGGGATCAAACAGGTAAGCTGGTCCTGTAGCAAGTGTACATGTATTTCCCAGAAGGAATGATCTATCTAGGGATGTTTGGTCCCCAATTAAGGTGACTGAGGTGTAGAATATCAATCACTGCTCTTCCTCCCTGGCGGGGAAGTACGTGGGTATAGTAGTTTCTCTCTTCTTAATGTTAACTTTCAGTGAATGTGCCCAAATTGTTTTCTACGCTGAGGGCCCAGCGCTGTCCAGCTGTCTTATAATATTTTCTGCCTAACTTAGCTGTATGCAGTATTCTCCCCTCTGAAGAAGTATCCCTAACGGAGGTTAGGGAAGAAAGGGCATAGTTTCTGTCCACTGCTTCAAGATGAGAAGGGTTGATGTGTAGCAGACTGCGGTCAGGGGCCCTCTCTGATAGGCCTCAGATAGAAGTTATGTTGTCGTTTAACAGTTACAAACTTTCCCCACAAGGTTGATCTGGTGGATCTCAGTAAAAGGAGTCTAACACATATGTTATTGGTTCCATCTGTGTGATCGCTTGGAGTTTGTCCACCTCTCTGTCCAGTTATCTCAGCGGAAGACTTCCAAATGATGTAGGGCACCAAGGAATGCAAACAATCCAAGGGAAATATTGTAACTTCCAGCCTGCTAGATATCCAAGACTCAAGTTTATGTTCTCTAAAATCAAAGAATGAACTCTAGGGCTGGGGATTTAGCTCAGAGGTGCTGCTGCCTGCCTCCCAAGCTCAGGGTCTCAAGTTTGATCCCCAGTACCAAAAAAAAAAAAAAAAAAAAAAAAAAAAAAAAAAAAAA